GTTTTTGTGTCCTTAAGGTTCATTCTATGATTTATACAACAGAATACACTTATGACATTTAAAAAAATCAACTGGCGAATATAGTTAATGACTTTTTTTTTTTTGGTAGGTAGAGGAAGGGGCTAGTGATTACTTTTATCTGTCTTCTTCTACCCTATACATCAAAACTTTCTTCCATTACCCCACATTGTAATAGTTCTAATAGGATCTATCTTAAGTGCTTTATGGATTATCCGGTTCATTCTTAACAACCTTGTGCCTAGGTATTATAATTTTCCCCATGTTACCAACAAAGAAACTGAAGCAGAGAGTAAATAAGTGGTTGCTAAGGCCCACAAAGCCAGAATGTGGCAGTGTTGAAGTTCAAAGCCAGGCAGGGCTCTCATCTACTGCATCACGTGCCACCACCTAAATTCAAAAGCAAAAGTCCCTCAGATTTTCTTTACAAAACAAAATATAGAGTAGGGAGAAAAGAACGGGCACCTTGAAATTTCTTAAAATGTCTTTTTCCAGTTCTAGATATGTTCACTAGAAGTTTTCATAATGCTGCCAGAGGCACTACAGGAGAGCTAGGAAGGCACTTGCACTGGGATCAGAAATGCTAGAACTGAACTTCCATTTCACCTTTTAATAATTATAAGAAAAATCTGAAGTGAAGTGCTTCATCTCTTTGAGCCTTCATTGATGAAATTAGAATGAAGAGACTTACTTTAACCCATCTATATCATAGAGAGGTTATGAAGTAATAAATATATGAATGAAGGACACACTATAAAGTATCAAATAAAGTAAGGGATTGCAGGTGAGAAAAATTTTTCTCTTTAAAAAATTTTTTTGAAAAGCTTAAACAGTTACAGAAAGCATAGAGAAGTATGTATTCACCACCAATAATTAACTATGTTTATATTTTGTCATTTGTTCAATATGTTTGTTGAAACTCTTTATGACTACTTGTTCTTTCCCTTTGCATTCTACCTAGTCTCTAATTTAATATCAACTGGTTTTAAGATTGGAATCTGAAAGAAAAAACAAAAACAAAAACAAAAAAGGTTTACAATATTCCCTTCAGTGATTTTACTTAGATTTGAAGGACTCAAAGGATGCAGCATAAGCACACACAGACGAACAACAGTTGCATGGGAAGATCTTGCAATATCTCAGGCCATCTGCCAGGTCCTACATGCACAGGTTGTGCTTTGTTGCAAGAGACAAAGCTCAAGTGGGCAGGGACTGAGGGACCTACCCCTCCTTTCCTTAGTTATTGCCTATATTAAGCCTGCCAGGAAGCCTCACTAGGCACATGTGTCAAGGCACATCCCTCCCGGAGCAGTTGCAACTTCAGGGATTCACAATAAATAATTTTGAAAACCAGGTACCATTTGTGAATTTAACATATCATAAATCACTATGTATCAGAGGACAGTGTTACAAGAAGATAAAGCCAGGGTGGGACTTAATCCAATATAACTGGTTTCCTTAGAAGAAGAGGAAACTTGGACACACAGAGAGACACCAGGGATGCATGAGCACAAAGGGAAGACCATGTGAGGACACAGAGAGAAAGCAGGCCATGTGCAAGCCAAGGAGAGAGACCTCACAAGAAACTAACCCTGATGACACCTTAATCTCGGATTTCTAGCCTTAAAACCTGTTGAGAAAAGAAATTTCTGTTATTTAAGCCACCCTGTCATGGTATTTTATTATGGCAGCCCCAGGAAACTAATACAAGAGAACTGGGATGTCATCCTGCACCTTGGCCAATGCAGCATACTCACTCATTAGAAAATCTGTTTCCTTTATCAGATGGTGAACCTCAGTGATGCTTCCCTGGTCAGTCAATATAAAGTTGCTCTTATCCTCCCTGTGTTTCCTGTCATTTAGTCTCCTCTCACAATCTGTAAGTTTTACATGGATTTATTCATTATCTGGAATCCCTATCATTCCTCCTTCTGCCCTATATGCAATCACTTCACTAGAATCTAAGCCACTAGAGGGCAGAAACTTGTGTCTGCTTTGCACACTACAGAATGACTAGTATCTAGAATAGTGCCTGGCCCAGAGTGGCTATTAAATAACTACTTGTTGTGTGAAAGAACGACTGATTTCAGGATTAGGTCATTTTCATATTTCTAGCAAAAGCATGGTATGACTTTTAATACATACTTTGTAGATTCTTAGTGTTTGTTGAGTGAATACAAGAATTTCAGTATCTTCTCCAGAAAACCTAATAATTAAATTTTAATTCTCTTTTCAAATTCAGTGTTTCCTTTTTAAGGAAGTAATTCTGTTTTTTTTTTTTTTTAATATAACAAATCATAGACAGTATGTGCAATACTCTCGACATGATTCTCAATGTTTTATAAAATTTGACACATTTAGCTCTCATAACAATTCTCTGTTAGATTTTTAAAAGCAAGTTGTAGTATTCTAAAAAGAGGTGTTACCTAGAGAATGGGGGTGGGAGGAGTGGGAGAAGGGCTTGTTTCAATTTTTGGCCAGCTCAGCAATAAACCCAGTATGGATTCAGAGGTCAGTAGAGCCTGACTAACTCAGATTGGCCACAGACAATAGAAGAGTTGGGAGTCGTCACTTTTGACTTGTTTAAGTATATGAGAAATGTATTATCTACAGATGTGTTTTTAAAAAGTATCCCATTGGTGGCATTTTTAATGGTAATTTCTTTTGAGTTAACTATATGGTTCCTTTTTTTTTCCCAATACATCAGCTAATAGTATCATTATGTTGAGAACTATGAAGGGTCTGAAAATTTACACAGCTTGCAAGCTAACAAGTTCCCCTATGGTTTTATATATAAGCTGGCAGAAGACATGAGACTCCTATGTTAGAGACAATAGACTTTATTACTCATGTCATTGCAGATAACAGGAGCTTCATGTTCTCATCAGTTCTCTTTCTACTGCAAGTCCATGGGGCAAGGCAGAGGCCCAGGCAGATGCTCCATACACAGTGTGTTTGTGCCACAGTCGAAGAACTCTGAGGTTAAGCAATCTCCAGCCTTCTCAAGGGAACTTCTAGCAAATTTGCCCAGCTTTTGACTTGGAAGCAGACATTATCTTTATTATCCCCAACAGCAAACAAATCTGCCATTGTTCCAAAAGGAGATATTTCCTCTGTCTTCCGAGGATGTTCCTATACAAATATCCTTGAAAAGATAGTCCAGAAAGAAAAGTTACCATAAGAATTACAGAAATGTAAACAAACCATGAAACTTTGTCTCCCAACTTGTTGACATTTTTCTTTATTCTCTTATGCATTTTCCTAACACTTTGAGAGCCTGCTATCCTGTGCCTGGAAATCTCATTCTTTTTTTAAGTAAAAATGTTTTCTATGTGCTTTTAAAAAATGTGTATAATCATTTGTACAGTTTCTCCTGAATCTCACTGTGAATTCTAGATTGATTTGCTATGCTTAATGATTTATTTAGTCAACAAATATTTGCTGAGCATTTACTATGTGCCAAACACTGTGCTAGCAATTAGGGATATAATAGTGAACAAGACAGACAAAATCCCTCTTTTCATGAGGAAAGGGGTCAAGTAATTAACAAATAATGAAATTAACAAATAATGTAATTTTAGAGATTGTTAAATACTATTAAGATATAGCAAAGTGCTATATGATAATAAGTGATTTGACAATTAGCAACGTTAGATGAGAGGTATCAGAGAAATGCCCTCTGAAGGTGATTGTGGAACTGACATTTGACAAATAAAAAGAGACTGGTGGAGATTAGGGATGAGGACCTTTCCAAGAAGAGGGAAGCGTTAGTACAAAGGTCTTAGAAAGGAAAACGTGAACTGCTTGATGAACAGAAAGAAGGCATGCGTGCTGAATATAGTAGTGGACGTGAAAGTGATAGCCAATGAGATTAGAAGTAGACAGAGTACAAAACATGTAGGATTTTCTTGTAAGTCATAGTGAATCGTTGGTTTTTATTCTAAGTGTTAAGGGTACAATTTGTCTAAAATCTAAAGTTTTCAAGGTGTGTTGGCTTTGTCTAGGGTGGTAGCTGTGAAAAAGTAGATAACTTTGGAAGTTTCAAAACTAGAGCCAATGAAATGATTTTTAGTGTCTGCTAGTTTATATGCTGAAGTTTAATTTTATACTCAAGCTTATTTTGTATTTACTTTTAATGCTGATGCCTCTTAATGCCAAAATCTTTCCAAACATAAATCAGATTTTTAGTATTTTATTTTATGTAATATAATTGGTCACATAATCTCTGACATATCCTTGGAAATTAACCAGGGATATTGGAATAGTTTTACTAAGAAAAGAATATTGTTTGATAGAATAAAATAATTACCTAATAATAATTAACAGTCTCTAACAGTAGTAAGAAGATTAAACACATAAATAACAGCTGTTTCTGCTTAGCAGCAAGTTTTTGGTTTCACAACAGACAGAATGACAAACTACTATATACATTTAAGACAAAGGAAAGATTCTTCTTATTTAGACCACCAAATCTATAAAATTTTAAATATTTTTTTAATCTTCTTAGGCAGTCAGTTTCTCAGCTAAGGAAAAAAAATCACGTTTTGTAAAATTGTAATATGCTGAGGCTAAAATGTAACAAAATAAGTAGAAATGAAGAAATAAAGAAACTATACAAAAATATATTCATCCCAAATGGAATAAACAGGGAAATCTTAGATTCTTATTAAATATAAGATTTAATGTTGAATTTATTCTGTAGCTGTATTTTTCCTTCCTATTGGTTTAAAAACACAGACATGTGTTCACAGAAATAGAAAGCTAAAACACTTTAAGGAAAAATAATTTGTTTCATTATCTAATTTGATTCAGTCTCTAAAAGTGTGACTTTTACCAGAAGCAAGGTTATTGTATGAATTTTAAGGAATAATTATCTAATGAATCTATAGCATCTTAAGTGGAAGAAATATGCAAGATAAATGTTCTGAAAGTCATCATTATGCTATACCACCCAACAAATTTTATCTTAACACACATTTGAGGCATTTGAAGCTATTCCCTGGGCACTGGCAGAAAACTCTGGGGTTAAGGCCAATGAAGTAATCTCTAAACTTTATGCAGTACATCAAGAAGGAAATAAAAATGTTGGATTAGATATTGAGGCTGAAGATCCTGCTCTAAAGGACATGTTGGAGGCTGGTATTCTAGAAACTTACATGGGAAAATACTGGGCTATCAAACTGGCCACCAATGCTGCCATCACTGAACTTAGAGTGGATCAGATCATCATGGCAAAACCAGCTGGTGAACCCAAACCTCCAAGTGGGAAGAAAGACTGGGATGACGACCAAAATGATTGAATGGTTTAATTTTTACTGTAGGCAAAGACTGTAGGTATAGTAGTGCTCTAGGAATTGCCTAATATTTTCCTATTCTTAAATTAAGAGATGTTTTGTGTTTATATCCTTGGCTGGTTGATACAGTAAATGTGTTGTTACTAAAACAAACAAACAAACAAACAAAAAACAAAAAAAACAACTTGTTTAAGATTTAAGTATAATTTTTAAATTTTAGTTATAATTTAGACCCACACTATCTTTTTTTCAATTTAACATATTTTTTTAAACTGTGGTATGTGAGATGTAGAATAAGCAGACATTTATAAGTGCTGATGATTTTAAAAAAGCTTTTAGTTGTTTGATACAGACATTTAAAAAGAAGGAAGAGTTTGTTTGATCAATTGAGTCTACCAGGCACTGTCAATGAAAAGCATATTCAGTCATTCTAATGTCTAAAAAGAAAGAAAGAAAGAAAGAAAGAAAGAAAGAAAGAAAGAAAGAAAGAAAGAAAGAAAGAAAGAAAGAAAGAAAGAAGGAAGGAAGGAAGGAAGGAAGGAAG